TGGCCATTTTGAAAGCTGTCTGAAAACTTTCACCAAAAGAGGAGCCCTTTAAATGTGCATTTTTTTGAGATGTTTAAGCCTTTATTTTGGGTAAGATTCACTACTTACTGTAAAATTAAGAGATTGATGTTCAGACTTTTGCATATTATAACCTGGAACTTGGATGTGGGAAATAATTACAGTTAGATCCAAAGGATTTTAAAAGTTTTAGCAACATAGCGCAGATGCTACACAACACAGTTAGCTAACTCGCTGTATAAGATTGTGTGCTACGCTAATATATTACTTCACAGGCATTACTGGCTTGTACTTTTAAATCCATAATATTATAAATTTACAGTTTATTGCTGGTCAGGGGTTTTACACTGCTGTAATTTTTAAAGATTTCATATTATTGTAAGGTGAGCTTAAAGAGTGCACTACTATGAAAATCACAGCTTCAGTGTGACAACAATAAGAAAAAGTACAATTTCATAGATATTGTTTATAATAATAGTTGTTCATATTAAAATATGTGTGAACTTAATACATGACCTAGATTATTTATTTAGCAAAATCTTGTCATTTTAATGATTATTACATGAAATTTATTCAAAATTGTTGCTGCTCCAATTAAGCTCAGTGTGCTCTCTTTAAGCTCTTCCACATTGAAAGTCTATGTAAATACTTAATAAACAGACTTTAAATATTAACTGATGGTCGTCACTTTAAGTTGATCTTAATAAAACTATTAATAACTTATTTTAACAGCTTTAAGATGACAAAATCAAGACATAACTATAGTTTATGCCTGAAGATGAAAGAGGCATGTCTTCCATTCAAAGAAGGAGCCAACAGAAACCTGTCGTATCTGTCCAGGAAAAAAGCAACTAAAGGCTGGAATACGCTACACAACTTTTAAAATGTGAACAGATTTTTAAAACACTAGGCTTCATACACGTACCTACTTTGTAAATAGTTTGTTTTTTGAATGTGTTACTTCGCTGAATGTGGACTAGTCTAGATGTTGCAATGTGCTTAAAGGGGTCATATGATGCGATTTCAATTTTTCCTTTCTCTTTGGAGTGTTACAAGCTCTTGGTGCATA